AAWTKRAMMAWWAAARAAAAAGCAACAGATTAATGAAACCCGTTGTGTGAAATGTTAAAACACTGCTGCCTTTGGATAGCCCACACACCAGAAGAGCGGTCACCACAGATCACACACAGTCGCTTCTGGGACGTCATTACTCCTGGGCTCGGAGTCTGTAGGGGCCTGAGGCCAAAYGGAGGTTTAATATCTTCTGAGCTGCTGACTGAATGCATCCCTGATACAGGTGCTGAAGAAGAGATCTGGATACAGAGAGAGAGTACAACCAAAAACATTAAAATACTGGAATACTGTTTAACTCATTATTTAGTTTGACTTCATAATAGCTAACTGTTTGCAAACAATCAATAGTTTCTATTAATCAGTTCCTGAACAATACACACTGGAGAAAAGCTGTGCAACGTACAATGTGCATATATTTTATAGTGTCAACAAGTACTAATACTCTAATAAGATTTATCTTGTGGCRCACTAATCTGGTGCGTCCTTAAGTGCGTGCAGCAATTACCTGACTGCTGTTGATGGGTCCAAATCCCAGAGAAGGTGAGACCACAGGGGAGTTGAGAGTGGGACTGATCACAGAAAAAGGAGAACCTAAGATGCTGCTGGGACTGTTGGAGGCTGAGCTGTTCGGCTGCTGTGTKGACATGGCTCATAAGCTACCCTCCGAAGTTAGTGATGTCTCGCGTGAAGGATATCAGTCTGAGGGTGACATTAACAGCACAGGGAGATGGTTGGTAAAAGATCGGACTTCTTGTGTGGCAAAYGCTGAGCTAGAACAATCCCAGAATTAAACTTTAACCATCAAGGTGTCCTGCTGCCAAATTTCTTGTGGCTTTGACCTGTTGGCAGGCGTGTGATGATATTTCCTATTTATTCACACTAGGCTACAAGGAACAATGATCGGTGTAGAGATAAGCATGCAAGGCACTGAGGACTGACAATAAAATCACGTTTTACACACAACATTGAACTACAGGCTCAAGTTTTGTCCCACATATATTTACTTAACGGGCCAAAACACAGGGGCCGTGATACATAATGTTGGCTTCAATCAGAAAATGACAAGAAAAATTATTTGTATTATATGCATGAGGATATTAAAAGTGTGCAGGAATGGTTCGTTATTTAAACCTGATTCGTGTATACAACGTTTTTATGCAGTACAGTCTTTTTGTTTCGTCTGGCAGGAATATTTATATCACACTTGCTAAGTGTGGCTAAAAAATACGCAATAACATTACAGCTATAATACCTTAAAAATACGGCATTAATTATGTAAAAATGACAGGTACAAATTCATTTGCAAGTATTTTAAAGCCATTAACTAAAATGTCTCACATTGGAAACTAATACATATATTTTATTTCTTTCGTTTCGGTTGCTTTAAACTAATGGCTGCGAAAAGCATGACTGCTCCCAAGTGTTGTGCACTAGCATTAGCTGTGTTTTTTTTACACATCCAGAAAAACGTTTTAAAATCTCTAAAAGCAACAACAAACGTCCAAGCATCTAAATAATTGGGTTTGGAGAGYGAAAGAAAAACAACACGAATTGACCCAATTAGAGAATGTCCYTCTAAACAGCTAGGATTAGCGTCTTAGCTTCAATTAATGCTACGTTAGCTAAAGCTGCTAGCGTTAGCATTAGCCGGGATGCTCGCCGATAGCTCTCGAAAAAGTGTTAATTTTAACTCGTGTTTCTTAGAAGTTTGCAGTTACGTACCATACACACTTTCGACGCATCGTTGAAAAGCACCTCACTTCATTTTTTAAGCGACCTAGAGGAGCTTTAGGCAACAGCTCGACATTCGGCTCAGTTTACTTCACTTTGACGGTGTTGTTGTTTACAGGCCATGTTGGCTCAGCGCCATTAACCACCAGTGAGCCAAAATGTCTCATGGGGACCACCCATAACAACGCTGTCATGTGACACCGACGACGCTCGGTTTCAGTTCTCACAACTACTGGCACAAGAAGTTAAATCAAATTAAACTTTATATATTGATCGGTTTTATGTGCGTTTTTTTTAAATACACATTATTTTAAAAAAAAGCGCACGGATCAGAACCTGAAGTGTCATTCCTATTTGATTGTTTTGTGGTGTGATAGAATAAAAGCTCAGTTAAAAACAAACAAAACATTCACACATAAAATAATGTGTTTTTTTTAATTATTATTTGTGTCACATTTAATCAAAGCAGGTTTCTAGGACAGCCACACCTACAATCAGAGCTGGGATGTTTTTTTTTATTGCGCAACCTGTTCTTGCACCATCACTTGTGCTTAGTAAAGGTTTCTAAAATCTAAATTTTGTCACCCAGGGTTTTCCTTTATCTCAACATTATTATGTTTTACCTGCGTTATGATTACTGGGGTTTTAATAATAACTTTTCACCCATTAAAACAGATGAAGTCTCTTTCACACTTTTTGTGTTTATAGGGCCTCAATTATCATTCCATTTGGTTTACGTCTGACTTGATGACTCAGCTGATCAGAGCAGATGTATTTTATCTCATCAAACCTGAAAACTACATTTGTCGCACAGTGTGTACGAGAGAGAGAGAAACCTGATGAGCAGCTTTTGTCTGAAGCTGTATTTGAGAACATTTTCCCTTTACTAGCCTGGTGGCATTCTTACTATCAACACTTGCTGCTCAAAGCTGCCAGAACCTTGCGTTACGAGCAGCAACTAATTGTTTTAGAGTATTATATATAAGGCAGAATCATATGTTATTTATTATTATTCTTTGGGGCATTGTTTGTACTGCCATGAGGATCTCTAGGATGAAAAGGACTTCACTTCTAGCTTTGATTTGGCTCTCAGGTTTGAATTACCCACACTTTTTCAGTACTGCATGTTGTTATATATGACGTGTACAAATGCTAAAGATAAAAAATACTGAAGTATAACCCATGCTAGATGTATGCTGGTGCTCAGACTCTCAGATTTGTTTATTATTTCACAGTGTTTTGCCCAATCTCAGTGGACGCCACAGATTTTGAATTTGTTGAAGAGCGAATGAAGTACGATGACGCTCAGATCTACTGCAGAGGAAAAAACTCTGATTTGGTCACAGTTCACAACTTAACAGAAATGAAAGAACTGATAAGTAAATATCCGACCAAGAATCCGTACACCTGGATAGGACTGCAGTTGGGAAACGAGTGGACATGGCACTGGTCTCAGCCTGACCAGAGTACACACTTTTTACACTGGAGGCCTGGACAACCACAAACAGAAAAACGGGACGCGTGTGCAGCAATGGATGAAAACGGCATGTGGTTTGAAGAAGACTGTGAAACCAAACTGAGCTTCATCTGTTATAGTAAGTATAATTTTTGAGACTTAAAACTGCAAAACCATTTAAATAAAATCAACACTACATCATTTATCCCCACCATTGTTTTTCCCAGACACTGGTGATGCCAGCAGTTACACCTTTRTTAATGAGTCCAAAACATGGAGAGATGCTCAAAGTTACTGCTGGAATGTCTCGTCTCAACTAGTTAGCATACAGTCAGCAGAACAAAATGCAGAAGTTCTTAGCATGTCGGCATCTAAAATGGTATGGATCGGTCTATTCAGAGATCACTGGAAATGGTTGGATGGGAGCAACTCATCATTCCGTTTCTGGGGAACCAATCAACCAACCAACCTCAACAGTAAAATGTGTGCTGCTGCCAATTTCCTACAAGAGGGAATGTGGGAGAATCGAAATTGCCAAAACCCAAACAGCTTTATTTGCTATGGTAAATAGTGTTTTCTTATTAACAGATTATTTTTATTATAATTTGTTTCAAGCTGATCTGTCTTACACAGAAACACAAGATAAATTGTCCATTTCTTCATTCCTACCTTTGCAGGACAGCAGTCAACTCCGGCAATGAACAGTTCCCAAACTACTCAAGCGAGCTTTTCAACGACAGATCAGCTGTCGATCAATACGACAACTATTTCACAGAACTCATCACAAGGGTTCACGGCAACGTTTCGTTCCACTGTGGCTACTACTGAACTACTGAGCTCTACCAGTGCGACAGCCACGGCTCCAACAACTTCCAGTGGGCCGACAACGCCAAATACCACAAAGTTTGTGTCACATCCCTCGAGCACTGAGCTCAGTGATGCAACTACACAATCCACAGTAACACCCACAATACAGCACCCAAAACCTACAGTCAACGTGACTACGAGCAGCGCTTCTACGTTAACAATGGGAACATCAGCTCAAAGTACACTAACATCCACTGTCAACAATCAAAGTTTGCAACCAGGTGAGTTTAAAATAGGGGTGCAACAATACATGTACCCGTATGGATCCATTCAATACAGTGCTTTAGGTTCAATACACACTTGTATCGAACAACACAGATTTTTTAAATTTACTTCATCAACTTGTCTTCTGAAGATGTTCTGTGTTGAAGGATCAGAGGATCTGTGTTCAACTACTCCACCTAGGCTGTATTTTCGAGCACAGATCCACTGAGAAACTTGCTGTTTCAGCAAAATTTAAGTTTAAATTTAATTTAAAAATGGTACTTTTGAGGTTAAACAAATGTTCATAAATAATTTCAATAAATTACAAGTTAAAAGGGGCATAGAAATATTTGTATCGAAAAAATATCGAACCCTGAGCCTAAAGCATCGAGCCGAACCGAATCGTGAATTTTCTGTATCGTTGCACCCCTAAATATTAAGACGTCTTTGTGTTTATTTTGCACAAATGCAAAGACAAACATAAAATTAATAGTATATTTCCTTGTTGTCTTGAAGAAAACCTGATACTAATCCAGAAAAACATGACGTGGATCGACGCTTTGAGTTACTGCAGGGAGCACCACTTTGACCTCGTCCACATCACTAACCAAGCCATTCAGGACACGGTGGCTGAGAAGGCAAAGGGCGCCACTTCCTCCTTCGTGTGGCTGGGCCTACGCTACAGCTGCAGCTTTAAATTTTGGTTCTGGGCCGGGTCGACTTCTGGCTGCTACCAGAACTGGGTCCCAGGGCAAGGGCCTGATGGGGTGTATACGTGTGGAGTCAGTGGTGCCATGGACACCGCTAGGGGGCAGCAGTGGACTGGCTTGTCTGAAACAGAAGAACTGAACTTCATCTGCAGCACATGCCCAGGGTGACAGTGGACTGCTTGGCCCACTTTGAAAAGACAGAAAGCTTCTGGAGTTTTGAAGAGGAAAACTCGACATGTTTGTGCTGATCTTCTGAAGTTTTGAAGAAAAAAGTGCAGAAAGCCAGATAACTTTAAGGGACTTTAAATGAGTCATCATGGCTATTTTGATACACGGAGTCATCTTTAAACACAGACTGAGTGTAATTAAAAAGGAAATATGTGGCATGTACATGTGCACTTTCAGTCATGAGAGGAAAGAGTACTGTGAGAAAATTCTGGAGTTGCAATTTGCATATTAACCTYCTCTCATTTCAGTATTAGAGCATCCTAACTATTAAACCACAAAAGCGTCTCCCCTTATTAACCTGACCCAACCTTTGCTGGCAGTTCCTCAGAGAAACACACCTTACAACKTCCTGTTCCTACTGCCATGACACACAAAGCACCTTGAAACCATATGCTGAAACTTTTTGAATACCGTGAACACAATGTTATTCATGTCTTTTAATTTGTCATTGACTGAGGTCCTTTTATTTAAACTACTTTTATTTAAATGCGTCTGTTTTTACATGTTTACTGTTACGTCTGGCACTTGTAGTGGCACGATCAAAACGACCTTACTTGTTAAACAATGACTGCATTCCAGTAAAACCTGCTTTTTAAAGGTTTGCTGGCACATATGAGAGACGCTTTATTGAACGTGAAAGGACACGGTGTGAAAAATGACTCGTCGAATGAGACATAGCATGTCCACATACTGCAGGTTTGAATAAATAAGGAGATGAAAGTTGCAGGAAAAGAAAGTCGACCCTCTTTCAGTTCTAGTGTTTCAGGGCATAAGAAAAAGAAAGTGATCTTTGCCAGGTTTTAAAATGATTCCAATTTAATCTCAAGGGTGCAAGAGCAAACAACAGAATCCATTGTGTCATGTTAAACCAAAACAGCTAAAATAGAAAGGCTAAGTGTAAATTAAACTAGGTACATTACATTATTAGCTTGTAAAAATAACCCTCTGTGGTTGGTTTTTTTTTTTTTTTACAACTTTACCAGTCTCTTACAAAGTTGTGGAGGAATTTTGTCCCACTCTTCTTTACAACTTTGCTTAAGTTCATTGAGGTTTATAGATATTTTTTTCTGCCCAACTCTTATTTTTTTCCAAATACGGTACTTAGACTTATACTTATGTAGTTTTTGTTTAATGAAAAGTTAAAGAGTAAAATCTTAGTTCCAATGAAAAAAATTACCCAAAAAAATCATATTTCAAATGATGAGAGAGTTCGATTCAAGTTTTAAAAGGTTTATTTTATGCCTCAAAAACAGCTGACGTTCCATAAACCTTTGAGTCAAGGCAGACTGATCTACACAAAGCAAACATCCTAATTTATAGGATTTGTTCGTCTTCTCCTTCTGGGTGGTTCGTCCATCTCTAATGAGGTGAGTGTACGGCCTTTTCCTTTTTTATTTTTATTTTTTTATTTTTATTTTTTGAGTGTACGCCCTTTTCCTATAATTGGCACATCCGTGATCTGATTACAATGATATAGTCCCTCCTCCTGCCCTTGAGCGCCCCCTGGTGGTTGCCCATCCCCTCACTCATGTGACCCTTTCCTGACCCTTGATTWTTACACACTCAATACAGTCTATACAGCTTTTAAAACACGTGACTTTATGTTTCAAAACATGCATAATATGGTGCTCACATTACATTTTACTGTTCATAGTCATGAATTTACTTTATATGGAATAAGATCATCAGAGGTAGGCTATAGCACAGACTGATCAACTGGGAGATAAAGCTAAAGAGACCAGACTGAGATGGTTTGAACATGTCCAGAGGAGGGACAATGGGTGTGTCAGTAGAAGGATGTTAGAGATGAAGCTGCCAGGAAACAAAGAGGCCAAAGAGGAGAAATAGTTGCAATTAGGGACAAAATGGAGGTAGTTGAAGTGAGGACAGAGTGTTTTTTTCTCAAACAGATTAATCTGTTTGGAAATGGCCAAATAACCCTTTTTAAGATTAATGGAAAGTAGCTTTTTTATTTCATTGCTGATGTATTTTTGTCTTGACAATGTGTTAATCAGAATAAGCATCAGAATACTTTAATGATCCTTGGGGGAAATTGCAATTAACACACACCTGTATGCTCTAGATCAGCAAACTGCCAGAGAAAGAGGTAAACCACCTTAATCAGGACCTTAAACCTTATGAAAGCAAAAAGAGTGGGGTTATTAAATAGCCTTTCCATTTTTTCTTTAATAATGAATGACAGGGTGGAGAACACTGTTTTTGTACATTTGAGGAGAAAATAAATGATTTTACAACCAAATAAAGCCATATTATTACCTCCACCAAGGGCGAGGTAATGTTTTCGTTTGCGTCTGTCTGTCTGTCTGTCCGTCTGTCTGTCGTTCTGTCTGTGGACAACATTACTCAAAAACTTGTGGACGGATTGTCATGACATTTTTACCACATGTGGATACTGGCTCAAGTAACACACCATTATATTTTGGTGACGTTCACGATGCGGATACAGGATTTTTTTTTCTTTTAACACTCTGAGCTCGGCAAATCTGCGATGCTTTCACAGGGCGTGGGTTTCAAAGTGTCCAGCAGGTGGCACTGTAGTAGTGGTGTGCCCCTTTGTAACTCTATTACAGGATGGGGGAAATTGGTGTTGGCGGAGGTTTGCACTCTCTGAGTGCTTCTAGTTTTAATATGTTTTGACAGATAGAACTGAAAAAAACATACATTTTCTTTTTTCCATCATTTTATTTAAAGAGTGATAAAGACTTCATAAGGTGTTTGCTTGAACACAAGTAGATAAGAAAATGTCTACAACATTAAAGTTTTTTAAACCATGCTGGTAATCTATTTAATTATAATCTACTCAGCAACAATTTTGCATATAATAGTAGCACTGCATTTCAGCGGGCTTCAATTCATCTTTGGTGACACTGAATACACAATAAAGCAACTATAATTTGCTCAAACATCTTTTGCATATGCAAAGAGAATCTTGTCACATATCAGTTACTACGGATCATTACACAAGTGTGTGTTTTAGCTCGGTTTCTCTCTAAAAATGAATTATTCAATAAGCATTCCTTCAGTTCAATGTTAAAGTTCCTTTGGGTCCACTCAGATGGTCTTAGATATCTCCCTCTCCTCCTTTTCTCACCCTCAACGTCTCTTGTGTGCTGTCCAGCTCTGACCTCTGACCCCTCCAGCCTCACTCCTGACCCCCGAGGACGTTCCCACGCCACACCCTTTTGTCCACGTCTCACCATGCAGACCCCATAGTAACTCCCTCTGAGTTTTTCAGAGACTCTGGTTGGGCATAATTCATCTCCATCTGGATCAGTATTAATGCAACCTAATCTGACCGCAGCTAAAGTCAAGTGTGAGATGGAGCTACGTTCAAATGTCACCATCTTCCTACAATAATCTCATAAGTCATTTTTTCTAAATTTTCAGGAAACACAAARAAATTATCTCAGATTAGGTCACACTTAATTCATAGGGCATTTTCTTAAGAGGTAATCAACTGTTTTGATCAGATATTGATGGTTTCAGCACAGGTAGCCAGCATCAGGAGATTTGTGGGAAAATGTATATTTAGCCAAAAATAACTTGGGTGATTATTTTAGTTTAGTTTAGTTTAGAATTTATTTCATTCAGCAAACAAATAATAAAACAAACAATTAATAAAAAATAATAATAGAAACAACTAAATAACACAACATTGTTGTGTCAAAAAGACAAACACAAATGAAAAGGAGCAGAAAGAAGAATAAAATCTTTTAACATCTGCCCCCAATTAAAAAAATATATGTATCTAAAAAAGTACAACATACGAGTAATAAAACTCAATATAATATAACAAAAAAACAAACAAATAATATTGTTGTGTCAAAAACACAATCACAACATAGTCAAATGAAAAGGAGCAGAAAGAAGAATAAAATCTTTTAACATCTGCCCCCAATTTAAAAAATATATATCTAAAAAAACGTACAACATACGAATAATAAAACTCAACTTAATACACAAAAAAATTTCAAATTATCAACAAACAGCATCACAACACAAATACAAATCTTAACCAATTTTTTGTTCATATCTCATTAAAAAAAACTTTTAGTATTCTACTAAATTAATAAATTGTTCCAGCACTCTTAAGGTCATCAAGCAAAAATATTTTTTTTCTTTCCCTTATCGTTTCTTCTTTTTTTACTTTTAAATATACAGTATATTACATTTGAAAGAAAAAAACTAAAGAGAAAATTTCTCAAGGCACAAACAGCCTGCGGGTTTTCATTAATAACATAGTTCACTTTTTAACATCAGTGATGAACATAATACAACAAAAACGATCTAAAAATTAAAATACTCAAATTAATAATTAAAATATGAACAAAATGTAGATTATCTAGCAAATATATAAATCGTATTGGCATTTTTGAAAACGTTTCCCAAATTATTCCACAATAATCCAAAACNATTTTAGGAAGGTGACGACAGCATTTACTTGGAATATTAAAAATGAACAAAATACAAAAAAATAATCCAAGTTATATTTAAATATCAAACTAATAATGTCTAAGGTAGTTACATTCCACAGGTGATGTGATTTGGGAAATGCAGTTAAACATTTTTCTATAATTAATGAAAAATGTTTGGTTGATAATGGGTTCATTGTGAAACTGAAATTCACAAATCAGATGCAGGAACATCCATGTAGAAGTCAAAAATGTAACTTCATATCTTTATTAACTATGCATGTCCCTACTTTTCTCCTGACTCTGCTCCCCTTTCTTCTCTTTCTTCTTTCACAGTTAAAGCAGATTTTCTCCATTAAAGCTCTGTTTCTTAGGTAACCTCAGTCCTGCATGTAATGAGACGGGGAGTGGGAAGGGGACAGAAAGGGGACATGGACAGACAGGAAGAATGAGCAGCAGAAGCTGGAGGCAGGATGAAGGAGAGACTTTAGAGCTAAAATATGTGTTTTTGTRTTTTGTATGCAGATTGGGACTAATTCAATTATTACTGAGGTGCAAGATGTAAGTATTGATGGTTTTTATAGTTGCAAGTTTATATTTAAACAAAAATTCAGTTTTTAAATTCCTATTTATTTTCATTTACTGAAATTAAAGGTAATTATTTATTGAAAACAACAGCTACTCTTATTTTTTATGGAAATTTGTTTGAAGTAAATGCTTAAAACAAAGTTCAAAATGTACTGTAGATATTCTAATCTGTGCAGCCTCATCAACTGATTACTTTGACTGAACCATCTTTAATATATAATGGGCTAAATGACAATATAAGTGATCATCCTAAAGTTTGACAGGGAGTCTGGTGTTGATTGTCCAAACGCAATTCTTGTACTTCTCCTTTATATCCAGGAGTTGTGGCTGGACATCAGGCTCCCAACTCCCACTGACTCATCTTACTACTGTGATCAAATCAAATAAATCTTATGTAATTTTATAATAAGAACTTGTAATTAAATCACTGTAAGAACAGTGTGGATATATGTCGCACAGCTTCTGTTAGTAACATCTAATAATTTACTGTGTTGTGGCTTTAAATGAAGTGAACATTAGCAGTTCTTATGTTGCCATGAAAGTCTTTAGCTGTTTGCTGCCATTTCACTTTTCAAGCCACTTAAATTCAAGGACTTAAGCTGTGTTGTGTCTTCAAATACAGAATATTTAAGCAAAGAACCATTGCTTTCAGTGTGTTAGGGAACTTGGTTCATATAGCCTCTTGCAAAAACACTTTTTTTATTTTATTCTTTTAGCTGAATGTAAAAATGATGTCAGGAATAATTGTTGAACAAGTACAAAATGCTTTTGCACCCAAAAGATGACCAAAGAACTGTTAGCTAAAAACCTGATGTGTGATGTGTCATCAGACATGAGATGAGGGGAGGAAGAAAAGTGTCAGACACAGAAAATGAGAATAGAAAGAGAGATTTGTTGTTGATGATAAGAAAGCCCCTAAATATTTAAAAGCTAGTTTTCTGAAGTATRTGGAAAAGTAAGATAAGAAGCTATATGAGCTGTTTGAGTTTATGTTTTTATTTGTATTGTTTTGTTTGAATATGTTTTGAGGATAAAGGGGGCAGACATTATAAGATATATTCTTTAGCTACCTTTCGTTTTATTTCGCTTTTCTTGATTTGTGTAATTTCATTGTTTTTTTATTGCATATAGTTATATTTTAATTAAATGAATACATTTTTTGAATTGAATTAGAAAAAAAAATTAAGGGGTCATTAGTTGTTCAACACTCATTCTTTTTATTGTAAGGCCCTGTCA